ATCATCTTTTTTTTTTTTAACATTTTATTAGGGGCTCATACAACTGTTATCCCAATCCATACACACATCAATTGTGTAAAGTGCATTTGTACATCGTTTCTCAAAACATTTTCTCTCGGTCATTTTATTTTTCATAGGACCAGTTCATCTATTTTGTCTCCCACTGCATGTGCTTCCTTTGTTATATCTGGTAACCTGTGTATGCCCTGAACTAGGGCCCTTAGATTTGTCCCAATTCTTTGTTGATGATTCTGATAGCTTTGGGTTTTACATTTAAGTCTCCGATCCACTTTGAGCTCGATTTTGTGCATGGAGTGAGGTATGGATCCTGTTTCATTCTTCTGCAGATGGATGTCCAGTTTTTCCAGCACCATTTGTTGAAGAGGGCATCCCCTTCACATTTAATGTTTCTTGGTCCTTTGTTGAAAATCAATTGTATATAGGCAGATGCTTTTATTTCTGGGCTTTTTTGTTCTGTTCCATTGGTCTATGTATCTATCATTATACCAGTAACAGGCTATTTTAAAAACGGTTGCCGGTGTAGAAGGTTTTGATGTCAGGAAATGCAAGACCTCCTACTTTGTTCTTTTTGAGAAGTTCTTTGCATATTCTGGGCTTCTTCCCTTTCCATATGAAGTTGGTATTTCATTTTTCCATTTCTTTCAAGAATGATGTTGGGATCGGGACTGGGTTGAATTTGTAGATTGATTTAGGTAGTATCGACATTTTCACAATATTTTCCCCCTGTCCGTGGACATGGGATATTCTTCCATTTGTATAGGTCTCTTTGGGTTTCTTGTATTAATGTTCTGTAGTTAGGATAATGAATGTACAAATGCGCTTTACACAATTGATGTGTGCATGGATTGTGATAAGAGTTGTATGAGCCCCTAATAAAATGATTTAAAAAACAACAAAAAAAGGTTCTGTAGTTTTGTTCGCACAGTTCTTTTGTTTCTTTGGTTAGGTTTATTCCTAGGTATTTCAGCTCTGTGTGGCTATTGTGAATGACATTTTTCTTGGTGTCTTTTTCAGATCTCTCATCACTAGTTTTATTTCTGCCTGTAAATCGTGTATCCTGCTACTTTACTAAATCCCTCAACCGTTTCCAACAATCCTATTGTGGAGACCTTGGGGCTCTCTCTCGGTAAAATCATATCATCTGCAAGTAGCATGAGTTTCATTTCTTTTTTACCCAATTGTACTTCCTTATTTTCTTGTTGTCTGGCAGAACTTCTAACACAATGTTGAATAAGGAGCATCCTTCTCTGGTTCCTGTGTTCAATGGAAATGTTTTCAGCTTTCCCTCCATTGAATGTAATATTGGCCGTTGGTTTTTCATATATGGGCTTTATTATGTTGGGGAATTGCCTTTCTATTCCTATTTTATTGAGTGCTTTTATTAGGAATGGATTTGACAATAGTCAAATGCTTTTTCTGCATCGATTAATATGGCATGTGGTGGATTACATTGTTTTTTGAATTTTGAACCATCTTTGCATGCTTGGTATGAATCCTACTTGGTCCTGATGTATTATTTTTGATATGTTGTTGGATTCTATTGGCCAGGATTTTGTTGAGAAATTTTACATCTATGTTCATGAGGGATATTGGTTTGTAGTTTTCTATCTTTGTGGGGTCTTTGTCTTGTTTTAACATCAGGGTTATGCTGGCCTTATACAACGAGTTTGGGAGTTTGCTGTCTCTTTCTATATTCTGGAAAAATGTGTAGAAGTGGCGACACGTCTGCTAATTGGACATCTGTATTGGAAGAAGGCCAGAGGAAGGCCTTGGAGGCACAGATGGCAAGACTTTGTCTTTCATACTGAGGACATACTGTCAGGAGAGACCAGTCCCTGGAAAAGGACATCATGTTTGGTAAAGTGGAGGGGTGGCGAAAAAGAGAAACAATTGTGAGGATGGTGCAGGGCTGTGCCGTGTTTTGTTCTGTTGTACACAGGGTCACTACAGGTTGGAGCCAACTCAATGGCACCTAACAACAACAACAACAACGATGTAATCTCACCTGAGGATAAGGAAATAGGTCCACAGAGCTTAGAGTGATTCGTCCTTGGTCAAAAAGTTAGCCAGTACTAGACCAAGGACTACAAGTCAGATCTCTTTACTTCATGCCAGTGTTTCTTCTTCATATTTGCAACTGTCCTGTTGTTCAGTTTCATTTAACTTGATAATCTAACAGGGTGATTATTAAAAAAAATTACCTAGGACCGTAAGGGAATTACCTAAGTAGGAAATGATCAATAGGGCTCACTTAGCTAAGGAGTATTCACTGAGTGGGACACAAACTAGATCAACCTTTGAAAACAGCCTACTTGGCTGTTTTGACTAATCTAATGGATGACAGACAATATTAATGAACAACTATGTGTTGAGTCCTGGATAATGTATTTCAATCTACACAGGAAAATTGGCTGAGAAAAACAAGAAATTCAATTATAATTTGAAAATGTAACACTCAAATTTTACTATTCTAGTTTAGTGTTTTAAATTCACCACTTTAGGTGGAAAATTTGACAGTATTCATGGGTGATGACTTTACAACATGATTAATGTAATTCATATAATTAAATTATACATGGGAAAATGTTGAATTGGCATATACTTGTTATATAAACTCTTATAACAATAAAAGAAGAAAAGGTAAGCCCCCACTCTCTAGACATTAATCAAAAACTCAGAATTCTGATTATAAAAGTTTATTGAAATGGTCAAGAAAAGCAAACAGGCAGACATTTGGTTACATTTGCCACTACAATGTGCCATTTTGAATAGTATAACAAATGACATTTAAATAATAACTAGGAGAGTAAATTAAGTCTACTTAAGGCACTTCAGATGAAAGCGAATTTCAAGATTTCTACGAAAATAACACTATATTCAGTGCAGCAAATCTGTTTCTGTAAATTTTAGCCAGATTGCTACTTTTATTCTTGTAGTAGAATGTGCTCTTAAAGATGTTGTTGTATATCATCAAGTCAATTATGATTCACAGAGATCCAATAGGACAAAGTAGAAATGCCCCATAGGGTTTCCTAGGCTGTAACCTTGATGGGATTAAATCACCATGAAGCCATTGGTGGTGGTTTCAAACTACAGACCTTTCATGGTCAGCAACCAAGAATTTAACCACTGTGACACCAAAGCACCTTGCTCATCTGAAAGATCGAAAAGCCCCCTCCTAAAATTAGATATATTGCCAAAGCGTTGGTGGTTGGTGGCATAGTGGTCAGCATAGCTGCCTTCCAAAATTATATATATGTATATATATATATATACTTTCATTCTTTCAATGTTCATGGCTAATTATCTAGAGCTATAGACTAATGGCAGTAATAGTTCCCTGGTCAATCTGTACAAGGGCATTTCATACAAGTCTCAACCATACGTATCTCAGTATAAATTTATTTGGCGTGAGACAAGTACAAAAAGAGCAATAAAAGAAATCCAGAATCACATAATTTACAGACCAGTAATTAACAAAGAGTGGCTACTTTAAATTAAAAGATCAATTATATCCCTCAGTTACCAAAACTACTAACAACAACAAAAAGACAAATCTGCCCATCTGTTTTTGCAAATCTCTATTAAGACTATTATCACACATGAGGGTTATTAGATGGTAAATCATCAAAAGCAACGACAGTGTTTTTAAATGTGACACTTGTTTGATTTCTTTACAAATTATTTTTAGCAATCACAATTCTCATATTTCTGTAATAGTGGCATTTCATGTTACTTTTAATAACTATGGGGGAGGTAATAGTTAGATCTAATGATAACCATCAACTTACATTCTTCACAGAAATTTGTTAGCCCATATATTAACTCTACTGACAGAATAAAAACCTCAAACAAAACCCCTTCATTTGCTTCATTTGTTTCTCCACATAAAGAAAGGGAATAAAGACTAAAGTAATAGCAAAACCAGAAATAGCTTTCAGGAAATACTTAATTTCTATACACAGGCAAAACTCATTATCTCATGATTATTTTTTTCCCATGCTAAGTCTTCTTAAACCCAAAGGCTAATGAAATTTGCTGTTACTTGTAATACCGAATTCAACTTCATCAGCTGAGTTATATGTAAGCCCATTTTTCTCTTAGGTACAAATAAAATTAGTGACAACTTTCAGAAGCATTTTCATACCTTGTACAAGTCACATTGATTTTATCATTAAACTATATATTAAGAGATGGGCCACCTGAAATAAAAGAGGGGGAATGAATCTTTCCAAACACTGGGTAGTTAACATCACATTCATGAGAAATCATAATCTTATATTTAGAAATATTTTTAAGGTCTATAGTTTCCAAGAAGCAGAGATAGCCCTGTATTTTAAGTCGGAAAGATAAGAGGAGGACTGCTAGCCTCCTGTATTTCCAAAAGCTAAAAGTATACTCTGAAGAATGGCGTTCCATTTTCAGGAGTCCACACAACACATATAGTTTTTCTGTTTAAAAGAAAATATGTGCAAAGTATACACACACATGCAAAGATAGAAAAGTTAAGAATGAATTTCTGTAGCAGTTATCTGCAACAGACATATGGGGGAACACGTGGTCAGTATTTTTCTGTTGCCTTTAGATAAGAAAATATAAAATCAAATGATCAAAACCTAGCTAAAGCCGTTTTGAGTCTTCTTCTAATTTAAAATGAAGTAGCTTTAAATTTTTCACATTTAATTCCCTACATTAAATACTCCATAAAGTTTACTAGGAAGGTTAAGAATATGAGAACTGTATCCCAAATACTTCATGATTGAAAGGAAATTGTTTATTAAGGCACTACACATCTTCTTTGGTTAAATGATAAACTATTTTAAATCACTTGGGGGAAAAAGTAATACAAAATACGCCAAGTTATTCCTCTCAAATAAGCACACATTTTTCATTTTCCAATTCCTGGTGTTACTCCAGTGTCTACATATCTCTGGAATCCTTTTTAATTCATCAGAAAGCTGAAACAAAAACATATATCAATCTGTTAGTCTGTGAAAGAAATGTGGACTTTATTTCTAATAAGTATGTAGTATGTTGATTTTACCAAAGAGTGCTTTGGTGCATCTCTGATTATCAATAACAGAAAGTAAGAAACACCAAGACTAGGCAGTCTTTGGAAAAATGAAAATAGACATAACTTCAAGTTAAAACTCTATGGAATAGAGAAACCAATTAACAATTGGGTGGACCTTAATGATCAAGTAAGTTAAAGAAATGGGAAGATTATCTTGTGCATTAATCAATACATATGGTACAAAATGTTCTAACAATGAATATGAGAACATGTTCTGAAATTGATTGTGGGATGATCGCACAACTCTGCTTAATATGGTTGACTGATTAAATTTTATGATATGAGAAATATGTCAATAAAACTATTTTTAAATGTTTAAGTCACATTATACAGAATTCTAGACTAATTTATAAAGTCAGAATAATTCCAAGAGATGTTCCTGAGAAAAGAAATCACATACTATTGTCCTTTATTTCATAATCATGTTAATTTATATAAGTAACTTATCTACTTTAAAGTAAGGTATAACTTTCTGTTCCAGAAACTAGGATAACTTGGAGGCAAAGCATAACTGAAAATATACTAAAACAACTCTAATAATTTTAAATGTAGGTAATCAATATATAGAGTAAAATCAAGACTCATACCTATATGGATATCCATGATATTTAGATCTGAAAATCGAGAGCATCCAACTGAAGAACAATACAACAAGTCCGATGCCAGCCACACACATTACTGTAGAACAAGAGGAAAGTAAAATGAGCACATGTCCCAAGATACATTTCAAGAGTGAAAAGCAAGGGCTATAACTTATTGATAAATCTCAACTTGGCAACATTGCAATCCACATACTTTAATCTTCAGAAGTTTGCTTTCGCCTTTAATTTTCTCCACCACAATATAATAATAGAGTGGGTCCATTTATATAATCCAAGTGCATTTAAATTGTATAAAGATAATAAATTCCTTTAAAGCCATCTCACTTAAGAATTTAGTGTTAGGTGCCTTTCACTACTGACAAAAAAACGACTAATCAAAATATTATTTGCTTTCTTTTAAATCTTTAGTAGTAGCTTATCTCATTATTGATAGCTGATATCATTTGGATAGCCTCATTTTAAAGCACCTGTGAATATTCAGGTGCTTTAATTCATTCACAGGTAATATTTCCTTGTATGACGAGCTCATTCAACATGAACTCCATATTGGAATAAGAAAAATCTGATTCCTAGCCTGAAATTCATGACTCTTGCCACTAATTCCAGATGACCTGGTTGAGCACATTGCTGTTGCTAGGTGCAATCCAATCAGTTCCAACCCATAGCGACCCTATTTACAACAGAACAAAACACTTCTTGGTACTACGCCAACCTCACAATTATTCTTATGTTTGAGCGCACCGATGCAACCACTGTGTCACTCCATCTTGTCAAAGGCCTTCCTCTTTTTCGCTGACCCGCTACATTAGCAAACATAATGTCCTTTTCCAGGGCCTGGTCTCTCCTGACAACATGTCTAAAGTCCACGAGGCAAAGTCTCTAAGGAGCATCGTCAAAGGCAAATTCTGTTTGTTCTTTTGGCAGTTCATGGTACTTTCAATACTCTTCATAGCACCATCATTCAACTGCATCAATTGTTTTTCAGGCTTCCTTATTCGAAGTCCAACTTTCACGTGTATAGGAGGCAATCGAAAATACCATGACTTGGGTCAGGTGCACCTCAGTCTTCAAAGCTCATGCAGTAGATGTGTCCAACGCAATGAATGCATCATTCAGTCGCGACTGCTGATTCCATGAGCATCGATTGTGGATCCAAGCAAGATGCTTGAAAATAGCCTCTAACAACCTTAACTCCAGATGCTGACCCTACAATACTCAACTAAGAATTCCCTTGACCCGAAGCTGTTGAAGGTCATGAACCAAGATTCTCTCGCTCATAGCTCTGGAGTCAATTTTGACTTATAGAGATGCTATGGGACAGTGCAAAAACGCCTGTGGATTTCTGAGACTATAACTCTTTATAGTAGTAGAAAGCTTCATCTTTCTCCTTCAGAGCAGCTGATGGTTTTAAACTGCTGACCTTGTGGGTAGCAGACCAATGTGTAGCCACTACACCACCAGGGCTCTTAGGCAGCACTAAAAATCCCCAGACTCATTGCTATTGAATAGATTCAAACTTATGGTGACAGTACAGGACAGAAAAGCAATCAATGTTTATGAATGCATGCTGGCTCTCTTTCTTCTACAGAGTAACTAGTGGGTCTGAACATGTAATCTTTCTGTTAGCAGCCTGGCACTTACCCATCGTGCCACCAGAGCTCCTATAAGGAAATCAGGTATGCTACAGTAACGGGAGTTATAATGAAACATACTTAATGGGTCCACATTAAAACCTTTTTGTTTTGGTAAACTTAGAGAAAGCAGTCACCAGTTCTGAATCATGTGTGCACGTGTCAAGAGAACTGCACTCCATAGTGTTTTCAAGGCTGTAATTTTTGGGGAAGCAGAATGGCAGGCCTTTCTTCTAAGACACTGGGTAGGTTTGAACCACCAACTTTTGATTAGTAGTCAAGGGCCAACATATTTTTTCTGAGTATTAACACGTGATCAAAATGTGGACAAAAATGTCAGTGTAAAAAAATGTACAGAAAATATTTTATGTGGGACAGCATTTCTTTACACTTGTCGCAAAGTTTCAATGATATGGGAAGATGTTCACTCAAGTTTTTTTTAAAGTTTGATATTTTGACCTAGGAATCATTATTTTCATGATACCCCAATGAGACTAAGGCATTATTAAGAGAACTTACCTGCGACCATTCCCTGATTGCAGAGACATGTTTAAATATGTCATGTAGTACAAACCTGTACATGTATGAACTGGAACTTTAGTAATAATACTTTTTAACTTATCTTCATATACACAGAAGGGCTTCAAATGTTGTAAAGAAACTCTATTATCTTTTAATTCCATTTTTTCCATGAATTTTTTGAAGACCCCTTGTATAGTTATACCCTACTTTTTATATATATAACAGTGTATCTAAATGTACTTTGAGCAGTTTGGGGCACATATGTCCTAAAGAAATGTCTATTATTATTATTATTGGAGATTATTTCATTAGGCTAGAGCCTTTGGAAGAGAATCAAATTGTACTTACTTCCTAGGCTCTTAATATACATTGTAAACCACTTTCTGTTTAAATTCATGGCAGCAGTATACCAATGGTAAAACAGACAAAAGGCAGAAAACTGTTAAGGCAGAAACCTGTCAGAGAAGGAAAATTAAAATATTTTCCACTAAAACAAATGATAAAATAGTAGTAAGACTGTATCATATTCAAGCCAGAGAACTTAAGAGACCAGTTGAAAACAAGACAGTCCTACTGAGTTCTGGCTCTCACAGTTTCACTTAATCTGGCCTTCTCTCAGTAATACTACACAAATGCAGTTTGTTGTTGCTGTTTTTTTGCTGTTGTTGTTGCTGTGTTTTAATCAAGCAATGAAAAGATGTATATTGACTGGATTAAAAATTGAAGTCTTAACTTTTTTCTAATCAGTAAAAATTTATTTCAATTCAGTAAAATAAATATCTCCTAAATTTTCCAACATCTATGTTCTAGAAGATAAAGTAAATCTCACTCTTTATTTAAGTAGATTAATTTTGATAACATTCATTGGCTCATGTAAAACAATAGGAATAGGATAGGAGTCTCACAGATACATAGAAAAAGATCACCGACAGAAGGAAAAACATAAATGCCTAACAGATATTTAGGAAAATATTCAGTCTTACTACTAATAAAAAGTAGTACAACCACTGGTACAGATAGGAACTGGAAACACGGGGGATCCAGGACAGACGATCCCTTTACGACCAGTGCTGAGAGTGACGATAAGGGGAGAGTGGAAGGAAGGTGGGGTAGAAAGGGGGAACAGATTACAAGGATCTACTTATAAACTCCTCCCTGGGGGACGGACCACAGAAAAGTGGGTGAAGGGAGATGTTGGACAGTGTAAGATATGACAAAATAATTATATTTTATAAAATATCAAGGGTTCATGAGGGAGGGAGAAGCAAGAAAGAACAGGAAAAATGAGGAACCGATACCAAGGACTCAAGCAGAAAGCAAATGTTTTGAGAATGATGAGAGATACAAATGTACAAAAGTGCTTGACACAATGGATGTACATATGGATTGTGATAAGAGTTGTACGAGCCCCCAAGGAAATGATTGTTTTTAAATAAAAAAATAATTACACTAATAACAATGAGTACAAGGAAGAAGAAGTTCTAAAATTGACTGTGGTAAGATTGTACAACTCTTCTTGAGATGACTGAACTATATTGAATTGTATGATATGTGGAAGAAGTGTCAATAAAATGGTTATTAAATATTAAAAAGAAAAGTAGTACAACACATATACATTACCTCTTTATTTGATAAAATACATGCATATGTATATAAATGAATTTATCTTTTGTTGACAAAGTTAAAATGAAACAATCTTTCTTAAATTCCACTGGTAAAAGTAAAATTTGTTATAATTATTGTGGAATGAATTTGACATCATTAGTTCAAAAAACTGAGAACTGAAAATACTCATGCCCAGGGCACAGGTACAGCATTTTCCTTCTAGGTGTCTATTCCAAGGAAACAACATAAAATGATGAAAAAGCCTTATGTACCATGTCGTTACTAGAGCAGGATTTATTATAATGAAAATCAGAAAAACAAAATGTTTTCAAAAATCATAATGGTTAAGTAAATTACAATATAACTATAGTATCATTTTAAAATTAAGTATAAGAAAATAAATTTATCTTAGGAAAATGTTCCTGTTAGAAAATGGGAGGATAATATTCAACATTTTATGCATACAGTTTAATAGAAGGAAATATACTGTTAAAATTATTATTTTCAGTAGCCAAGTAAGGAGGGAATCTCCCTTCTAAATTGTTCCATATTCCTGCTTTTTACAGGTTTTCTAAAGTGAGCATATATTACTTCTAAGTAGTAAAGAATTAAACTAACATAAGGGTGGAGAAAATAATTAAGACAATAGAATTGTTAGATTTTCAAAAATGATGTGACTTACTCTTTCGCTTCCCAATATCCATGTCAGAAGTAGCTGCTTCACATAAAAGCACCATCCCTAAGGTTACTCCACCATCTTAGGTAATTGCTTAAGGAGAAATTCATATAGGCACAAAAGACATACCATCTTAATAGCCCTAGTCTTATAGGAAGAAAATGAAAATAAATATATAAACCTTTAACTCTTAATTAAAGAAAGCATAAAGTACTAAATAAGCAATCTTATATCTACACAGTATAATTTTTTAACTACAAAAGTAAAAGAATAAAAAGATTGAAAAGCTATTTCATTTTTACAAATAAAAATTGGTATTTTGACACAAATGTCCTATTATAATTTACAGGCAAAATAGAGGCTTTTCCTGAAATTTGATTTTGGAATAACTTTCCTATACATTCTCTCAACTATCACCCTGACCCTATACATATTTAAAAATACTAAGTCACACAGAAGTAAATGAAGGGGGAAGGAGAGAGAGTGGAACACACCATGGCCCATCAAGCCCCGAGGACAATATTCTTGCTCAGAGCAGCCAATGCACAGAGAGGACCATAGGGCAGGCCCCACCACGAGACACGACATCCCTCACTGACCCATAGAGCTACGGGGGACAACACTGGAGACACAGTGTAGGAATTGTGCCCGATCTGCCCCCACCACACCGGGGCGAAACACTAAGGATATACAACAGAGCAATAAGGGGAGCAAAGCAATGAAGTCCCTGAGGAATACAAAAAATAGACTTTTGGGCCAGGACGAGCCACCCCATCAGACGCAACTGGAAAACACTCATAAAGGTCAACAGAAAGACCTGGAACTATTTATAGGCTTTTCTTTTCTTGCTGTTGTTTTTGTTGTTGTTGTTGTTGCTGATTTTTGTTTTCTTTTGTTGTTATGTTTTGCTTTGGCTTGTTTTTATGCCTATTGGCTCTTCCTGTCTATCTAGATAGACAGGATAAATAACCCACAGGAGAAAACAACGGGATGGACGGTTTTGGGGGGACATGGGAGAGGAAGAGGTAGGGAAGGGAAAGTGGGGTGCCAACAAACTCAGGGACAAGGAAACAAATGATCTAAAACTCATGGCGGAAGGGCATAGGATACCTGTGGGAGGCTTGATCCAGGGCAATGTAGCTGAGAGGAATTACCGAAACACACGAAAAAAAAAAAAAAGATAAATTATCAAGGGTTCATGAGGGAGGGAGGGGGTTGGGAGGGAAAATGAGCTGATACCAAGGGCTCAAGTAGAAGGAAAATGTTTTGAAAATGATGATGACAACTTATGTACAAATGTGCTCGACACAATCGATATATGTATGGATTATGATAAGAACTGTAAGAACCCTCAATAAAAAATACTAAGTATATGTTTTAAATATTTCAACCATCCCTTTATCAAAATATTTGAAATATACACATTTAGATATTAGCAACTAATTTTTATTAAAATATTATAATAGTAAAGTATAACACAGAAAGAATCACATCAAATATAAACATAGTTTAACAAATTAGAAATATCTTTGTATCTATACCCAAGTAGTAAAATGCCACCGGTACCCTGAAATCCCTCACTACCCCCACTAGTAAATTATTTTCATTAGAAAAATAATTTTGATGTATTTTATTTCATTGTTGTATTTTAATAAAGGCCCGTGTCATAACTTCCCTTTTATCTAGCTTAATAATAGTTACAATTGTGTCCAAGTTGATTATAACTCATGTTAAGAGGTGAACTGTGTTCCATAGGGGTTTTAATAGCTTATTTTTCAGAAGTCGATAGCCAGGCCTTTCTTCCAAGGTACTTCAAACCACCGACTTTTCAGTTAGTAGTGGAATACCCAAACTGTTTCAACCACTTACAGACTCTAGCTTAACAGGAGGTCCATAAGTACAAATAGGGAACACGTGTCATGACTGAATACTAAAAGTATTCAATTGAAGTATGAAAACAAATAGAATATGTTACAGAAGATTCACCCTACAGATTGGTGAATATTACCAAGTTAAAATTTTCCCAATTAAAACACACACACACACACACACACACACACACATTGTATTCAACAATTACAAAAAAATCAAACTCATGGGTATCGAGCCAATGCCAACTCATAGCAACCCTGTAGGAGTGTAGAACTGCTCCTTGTTGGCTTCAGAAACTGTAACTTTCCAGGACTTTGTCCCTTTGAGAGGCTGATGGTTTCGAACTGTGGACCTTGCAGTTAGCAGCCCAATGTGTAATTACCACACCACCAGGGCTCCACAGGTATTCAACAATATGTGGGTATAATTAATCAGAAAGGGAAAAATCAATGCTCTAGCAGGGGCTGAATTTATAAGTAGTTCTATAATTGTGTCTATTCATTCCTTCATTATCCTCTTCAAAACCCTTTCAGAGGTGATATCCATTCCATATGTTTTTACTTTACTTGCTCAGCCAAGTTGTCTTCTCTAGCAATTGATGTGGTAGTTCTTCTCTGCCCTCCCCCACCCTCGCCAATTTACTGAGGTTCTTTATATCCACATACATGGAAAGACTGATCACTTCTAAAGGATTTGGTAACAGATACTTGCTTGAAATGTCTGCTTTTGAAACGAACAGTTGATATGTTACAGCTTACATATGCTTTTGCTTTGACGGAGCTTTCTATCTCAATATATACTACCAAAGTCTCAGCTGTCGAGAGCAATGATATGTTTCCTTGTGTACCTGATAGATTCATTAACATTGACTAATACTGCATACTATGTCAAGTACTATCATATGTTAGATTACAGAATTGAATAGTGTAGAAATTCCTTGAACAAGTTTATACTCTAGTAGGAGATACAAACAATGAAATAAAAATGTAATTATATTATCATGATTAAATGACATGAACATAAAAATCCAGGCTATTAAGAGAGCTAGAAAATTAAATTAAACATGAAAAGGGTAATGCCATATAATTATAGAAAGGAGAAAAAAGTATACAAATTACTATTATCCAAACAATGAGGCATAATTTCCTTAACTACTGATTTAGCAATAAGAAAACTAAGAATGTGATAGAACTATTGAATTGTACGATATGTGAATTATATGCCAATAAAACTGTTGAAAAATATTAATAGGAAAGTATGAATAAGAAAACATGAAGCAGAAAAGTTGCTAAATATTAATAGAAAACAAAATAAAATATTTTAAATTTTATAAGAAGAAAATGTTCAGTTGGATTAGAAGTGAATCCACAGTAGAAAACATGTTCTGTTCTGTTCGCCAGTGAAAGGGAGAGTGGGTATTTAAACTGAACTTCAATTACAAAGGTTTAAATTACTCAACAGTTTTTATTTTATTGTAAAATATTTTTTTTCTATTTTCACCATTAAAAAAGATAAAGAATAAGTAAGAAGGACTGAGACTTATCACAGAAAGCAGTATATGTATGCAAGGAAATTACAAAGAGTTCATGGAAAATTACATTATAATCCCAGTTTTCCTAAACTATTGGAAGCCCTTCTCATAGATTCCCAGCAGAAAAACCCTTTTGGAAAAAATGTGACATACACTAGGAATAACAGAAAGACCCTTTGTTTAGAATTTTAATCTTGGAAATTTGGAAGCAAATTAATTTTATTTCCTAGAAGACATTCTTTGCGATGTTGAGAAATATGAGAATCGAACTATGATATATATTATATAAACATTAAAAATTATAATTCCTGTGTAAATTTGGCAAACATATCTTGAACTTCCACTGTCATCCTGAGCCTGCTGCAAACCAGAATCTCACAATTTAGGCTCTGCTGCGATTCATCATTCATTTGGAGTTATATAATTTACAATCCTTGGGTTATGGATGGTGGTGTGCTTCTTCCAAGTGGACTTGATTGAAATCTCACTTAGATGGCTGTTTGTTTTGGAAACAAGCCTTTAAGATCTCAGATCCTATTCTAACTGATGGCTGGGCACCATGTAATTCCTTCCCCACATTTTGCTATAGCACCAGTATCTTCTGTTTCCTTCATGAGGGTGGGTATTGAGCACAGCCATGTTGTAAAAATTAAATGTTCTTAGATTGGAGCTAAGATTTAGTGTGAGCCAAATATCCATTGCTGGATCTATGATATTTTTTAATTTTAATCACTTTATTGGGGGCTCTTACAGCTCTTTTTGTTACTTTAAAAATAGCTCTTATCACAATCCATCCATTGTGTCAAGCACATCTGTAGATATATTGCCATCATCATTTTCAAAACATTTTCTTTCTACTTGAGCCCTTCATATCAGTTAATTCCCCCCTCCCCTCCCTCATGAACCCTTGATAATTTATAAATTCTTACTATTTTTTTCGTGTCTTATACTGATCACTGTCTCTCTTCACCTACTTTTTTGTTGTCCTTCCCCCTAGGAGGGGGTTATATGTTGATCATTGTGATCGGTTCTCCTTTTCTCCCTCTACCTTCCCTTTACCCCCCTGGTATTGCTACTCTCATGAATGGTCGGTCCTTAGGAGTTTATCTGTCCTGGAGTCTCTATGTTGTGAGCTCTTATCTGTACGAGAGTACATGTTCTGCTCTAGCCAGATTTGTAGGTAGAATTAGGGTCATAATAGTGGGGGACAGGAAGCACTAAAGAACTCGAGGAAAGTTGTATGTTTCATCAGTGCTATACTGCACCCTGACTGGCTCGTCATTTCCTTGTGACCCTTCTGTGAGGGGAGGAGCTATGATTTTTATTTGCCTTTGGCTCCCTTTAGAGACCTCCTTGTTAATTTATAGTAGTCTCTTTTTGATAATTTCCCTGGAGCATAAGGATCTTCTGTTAATATTGTAATTGATTAGCTTCAGGTACTAACTTTTCAAACACTGTTGAGAGAGGGATATGGGACCAGTGTAGGCTATTGGAGAGACGAGTATAGGAGATCAAAATGATAAACCTGGCTTGAGCAGTTAAAACCTTGTCACTTGAGCCCCACTCTGACACACGTTGGGCCTGATCTGGTTTTCCATATTTTCTGTGTGTGTGGAGTGTCTTTTCACATTGGGGTTTATCTGATGTATTTTAAAAAAATCATTTTATTGGGGGCTTG